TCCATACCTAGCTCGATGACAAGTATGCTTATGAAAGAAACAAAGAGAGTTTGGGGCACAGATGAGAGAGATGGGGGTGAGGTGTCTACAAGCCAAGGACCACCTGGAGCCACCAGACCCCGGAAGAGGCATGGAAGCGTTCTCCAGAGCTGGCGGTGACAGGAGGCTGACCCTTGGCTTTGGGTTTCTGGCACAGGGCCTTTGCACTGGCCACTCCCTCTGCCTACAACACTCTTTCCTCCTTTCCGCCAAGTGTCGGGTCCCACCGCCCTAGTCAGCTGTGGTCTGGTCTTCCTGTTCACATCACCACGGTCCCCAGCAACTTCATTTTCTTCCTTCGAGGCATTATTTCTAATACATGAACCAATTCCAGCATTTGGCTAATCCCTGTCTCCTTGATCCTGAAATGTAATCCACTCCTAAGACAGGGATTTGGGCCGGGCAGTGGTGGCACACGCCTTTAATCCCAGCCCTCGGGAGGCAGAGCCAGGTCGATCTCTGTGAGTTCGAGGCCAGCCTAGGTTACCAAGTGAGTTCCAGGAAAGGCACAAAGCTACACAGAGAAAACCTGTCTCGGAAAAACAACAACAACAACAACAACAACAACAACAACAACAACAACAAAAAAGACAGGGATTTGGGGCTCAGCAGTTAAGAGCACTGGCTGCTCTTCCAGAGGACCCAGGTTCAATTCCCAGCACCCACATGGCAGCTCACAGTTATCTGCAGCTCCAATTCCAGTGAATCTGGCACCTTTACACTGACATTCGGGCAAAATACCAAAGCACATAAAAATAAATAAAAACCTTAAAAAAAAAAAAAAAAGACAGGGATTTCATCTCTTTTGTTCACTGCTGTCTCCACAGCCCCAACAACAGAGTGTGTTGACACATGTTTATTGAATGAATACATGAGAGACTTTCTGGTGTAAGCACACTTACTACAGAGACAGTCTGGGGTGCTCGTGTCTGAGTGACCATGTCTGCTTCCCCTGTCCCTGTAGGGAGACAAGCTGCTAGAGTTTTGAATTGGAAGGACCTGGAGGCCAACCAGTCACTTCCTGAACCAGGTCCTTTTGAGAGCCTGTAAGTCTCCTCTGAGCTCTCCAGTGGGAAGGGCTTGTGGGCTCTTCATAGCCTGACTCGGTGCCACACTGAGACTTCATACCAGGAGCGAGAGCTGAAGACAGTCACATGTGAGTCACCCCTTAGCTCCGGGCTGGTATGTCCCAGGACCCTGCACAGAGACAGCAGCTGAGGGTGTGCGACAAGCCAAATGGACAACGCCCTAAGATAAGTCCCTAGTAGGATCACGTGACTGCTTGGCTCCTTCTTGCTCCAGTTCCGTTCTCATCTTCTCCGTGTGGAGGGCCAGCTCGGCTGCTCTGTCTTGGGGGCAGTGAGAGAGCCGTCCCAGGGGCAGGCACGGCAGCGGTAACAAGGGAGACGTGGAAAGCTCAAAAGTGGACAGCATGGCTCAAGGATGCGGCTCAGTCAGCGGAGTGCTTGCTTAGCGTACGCAAAGTCCTGGGGATGGACCCCAAGACGGCCACGTGCTGGGCAGGCACTCTACCAACTGAACTACAGCCCCGGCCGAGTGTCAAAGCCAGGGTCTCACACCAGCTGCACAAGCACACTGCCAGGGAGCTGCTCCCGGCCTTCCCACTGAGTTCTGTTTGTTTGTTTTTAGGTGTGTGCCAGTGTTTGCTTGCAGGCATGTGTGTGTACCACATGTGTACCCAGTGCCCTCAGAGGTCAGGGAGGGCATCAGATGCCCTGGAACTGGAATTATAGATAGTTATATCGGGTCCCCAACACTGCAGACTCCATGTTGGTTCCAGACCCAGACCATACCTGGAGTTACGAGCGATTGTAAGCCACCACGGCGGTGTTAGAAACTCAACCTGGGAGCCAGGCATGGTGGCATGCACCTTTAATTCCAGCACTTGGGAGGCAGAGGCAGGCATATTTCTGTGAGTTTGAGGCCAGCCTGGTTTACAGAGTCAGTTCCAGGACAGCCAGGGCTCTGTTACAGAGAAACCCTGTCTCAGAAAAAAAAAAGAAACTGAACCAGGATCCTCACTTAACCACCACCATAAGGAGCTCAAGCTGGCCACCAGAAGAAGGGGACACAGAGTGACAACTGATCAAGCAGCCTGTGTCTGTTCTGGCCACCCTCGCCCCGACAGTGCCTAGAAAAGTCTTCAAGAGATTCCAGCAGCTGTCACCTGATCACACTCTGAAGATGGACAGCAAACGGGATTCCCACGGCAGAGGCCTACCAAAGGCCATGGCTGGAGGATGCACTTGAAAGACTGTCACTGTAGGCCACCACGATTTGGGTGACTTTCTTTTTTTAATTTATTTTTATGTATGTTGGCATTTTGCCATGGATATTGGGTCCCCTGGAACTGGAATTACAGACAGTTGTGAACTGCCATATGGATGCTGGGATTTGAACTGGGGTCCTCTGGAAGAGCAGTCAGTGCTCTTAACCACTGAGCCATCTCTCCAGCCCCAATTTGGGTGACTTTTTATGTAGAAGACAATCATCCAAACAATTGAAGAGTGGGAGTGTGCCTCATGAACAGAGCTCATGATACAGTGCTTGCCTAGGATGCTCAAAGCCCTGGGTTCAATCCCCAGCCAACATAAAACAGGCCTGGTGATGTACATCCTGATGTTTGAGAAGTAGAGACAGGAAGAGCAGGCATTTTAGGCCAGCCTGGGCTATGAGACCGTTTCATACACTCCTTTAAACACAGCACTCAGGAAACAGAGACAGGTAGATCTCCGTGAGGTGAAGGTCAGCCTTGTCTACAAAGTGAGATCCAGGTCAGCTAAGGACTCACAGTAAGACCCTGTCTCAAACAAGCAACAACGAAATAAATGGGTGCTAAAAGAGGGGGTCAAATCCCCCGGAACTGGAGTTACGAGTAGTTACAAAAGCCGCCATGTGGGTGCTGGAAACTGAACCTGCGTCCTCTGGAAGAACAGCCAGTGCCTTAAATCACCTCAGCCACCTCTCCAGCACTGGGGATTGTTTTTATTGTGTTAACTGAGGTGAGAAGACCTACCCACTGTGGATGGCTCCATTCCATGGATGGGATCTGTATAGTGGAGAAAGAACGCATGAATTCACTGTTCTCTGCTTCCTGACTGTGGATGTAATGTGACTTCCCTGCCAGGGCACAAGCTGGGTGACAAGAATGATGGACAATGGAAGCCATCACAGAGGGGAGCATGGGCTCTATTGGGAACTTGGCTGGAGGCCATTTGTATGGTGTTTTGGCTAAGAATCTGGATTCATTCTGCCTGTGTCCTGAGAATTTAGTGATTTAGGGGAGGTAGGCTAACTGCTTCTCAGAGGAAAATCGTGTGAGAATGATTAGGGACACAGCGCTCTGCTCTGGGACAGCAGCAGGGGATGCCTTGAGGCTGACAGCTTCAACTCATAAAAATGCAAATCCATGTACAAGGAGAAGGCCTGAGCTGAGACTGAAGCTGAAGGCATTTCTGCCCCCTCAAAACGACTGCCTAGGGAACTGTTTCCCCAGGGGCAGAACACAAGAGCTCATGCAAACATGGTCCAAGGGTTCCAGACTCCACCCCAAGCTTGCAGAAGAACCTGACAGTTTTCTCCAGATGTGACTGGTTTTGGAGTCATGAGCTTCTTCCTCCTCCTCCTCTTCTTCCTCCTCCTCTTCTTTTTCAAGGCAGGGTTTCTCTGTGTAGCCCTGTCTGTCCTAGAACTCACTCTGTAGACCAGGCTGGCCTCGAACTCACAGAGCTCCACCTGCTTCTGCCTCCTGAGTGCTGGGATTGAAGGCGTGCACCGCCGCCGCCGCCGCCGCCGCCGCCGCCGCCACCACCACCACCACCACCACCTCCCATTGAGTCATGAGCTTCTAACTATCCCCTTTCCCCATCTCTGCCACAGCCCACTGTCACCCCTGGTCATTGTCCTTCACCATCCTGACACTTGCTAACACAGATTCTGCAGAAGGGGTAGTGACATCGGTCACACACACTTGGGCTCCTTTCCTCAGAATCTCGTTTCTCAGCTGAGGTGGGAGGCTGGTGTGTTAGGGAGAAGTCGCTCGTGGGTGTTCGGATAAGAGCATGGGGAGAGGCACTTCCCACACCTCTAGTGTCCAGGCATCCTTTCTCTTCCGCTCAGGGTGGGGGAGGAGACTTTGGCACCTGGAGATGCCCCAGAAGGCATTCCTACATGACCTCATCTCTAGGCCAGGCTCTTAAAATTCTATCCTAATCAGTCCTCCTCATTAAGGGATGGAAGGAGGGTTGTAATTCCAGAAGTTCCTTGTCATATCCCAGTTTTTAATCAGTTGACGCTGGAGAGTGAGCATCCTTGAGAGGAAAGCTTCCCAAGGTTTTGAAGGGATTGTTAGATAGCGAGCAGGGTATCAGGGCAGGAGATCCCTCTGACCTGGTTAGGAGAGCGTGGGAGAGTTTGTGTGAAGCGCACTTGAGATCAGAACCACGGACAGCTACCCAAGTGCCGGGAAGCGGTGCAGTCCAGCCATCCAGCCACCCAGCCAGGTGCTAGGAAGCCAGGCAGGGATTACAGGTTCTGAGGACACTCTCCCCCGGGAGGCTGGTGATGGTGGGTGTTGTCTGGGAGTGTTTTCAATGAGTCACCCCATAAGCCCCACACTCGCCGAAGGCTGGGGAAGCTGGGGTTCTCCCTGCCATTTCCAATAGGGGTGGGGCAGGATTTTTGCATGAAAGAAGGGAGCAGGAAACAGGGACGTGTTAGTGTCCCCGCACTCTCCCACCCTAGCCCAGCCCATTTCTATACAAGGCCCGCTCTCCACAGCCTCCACCCACAACGAATACTCCACACAGGCACAGAGGGGTGAATTCTCAGGCCTTGAGCTCAGCAGGCAGGAATGTGACTGATAAATCAGAGATAACCCCACCCCCACTCCATAAGAGGGCTGGCCGGACACTCAGCCCCAGGATAAAAAGCCGAGGCTCCGTGGCTAAGGAAGCCAGCTGCTTGAGGAGGTGGGACCAGAGAGAGAGAGAGAGAGAACAAGGCACCGCAGCAGCCTGGCCCGTCACAACTGCGGCATGGATCTCCAGAAGGTGCTGTCCTGGATGATTCTGTTCCTGCTTTTCCTGTCTCTGTCACTGCTGGGAGGTCACTCCCACCCTCTGAGCAGTCCTAGCCAGTCTCCGGAACAAGTCAAGATGCAGGTGAGCTCTGAGGGTCTGCATAGACAGATAGGGTCTGCCTGGAGGGTTTGGGCAACAGCGATGCACAAAGGTCTCATGTCCTTTGGGAATTAGCCTTGTAAGACTCAGGAAGCAGCAAGACTGGGTACCAGGACCCTCAACCAATGGGCACCGTGGAGGAGTGGGAGAGCCAGGTGTGTGTGTCTGAGGCCTGGGTTCCCCATCTCATCACAGGCGCTGTTGGATCTGCTGAGGGAAAGGGCAGAGGAGGTGCCTCAGGGGCCGCTCCTGAAGGACCAAGATACCACAAAAGCATCTCTCCAAAGCACCCTTGGGTCTCAAGACAGCACCTTCCAGATCCTGCAGAGAATTCGCAACTCCAAGAAGATGCATACTTCGAGCTGCTTTGGGCACAGGATAGACCGGATCGGCTCTGTCAGTCGTCTGGGTTGCAATGGTGAGCTCCTACCTTGCCACTTTCCAGCAAGCTGCACCCCACCCCACCCCCATGCATGCCACCATTAGAGGCCCCTCGGTTTGCTAGGTTTGCTATCTGAGGTACTCACGCAACCCTCCACCTTGCTGACAGTCTTCAGGACCAAGGCGATCTGTCAGGAATTGTCACCTGGATGCTTCATTACATCCTCACAGGTCATCACCTACCTTCCATCAGAGGGGTCAAACGCTCCTCAGGGTGCAGAGCGCCTGTTGCGCGGCCACCCCTTCATAGGGCAGGAAGAGTTCTGACCATTTCCCCTCGGTTTTCTCCACGCTGACTTGTCAAAGGCAAAGGGTACAATCAACCCACTTGACAGTAGAACCTGAGGCCCAGGGAGGCAGCTGTTCCCAGAGCCATAAACTTCAGGGTCCTCTGGGGACTGCAGGTGGCGGTGGTGTGTGGTGAGCGAAGCGAAGCTCCGGCCTGTTTCACCCTGTCTGACAGCGACCCTGTCTCTTCTCCTTGTAGTGCTGAAGCGGCATTAGGAGACCTCCCAGCTGCAGGCGACTGCTTCTGACTCCACCTGGGGCTCTTTCCCCCAACTCTGGGACCCCCTTTTGAAGTGATCCTATTTATTTATTTATTTTTATTTATTTATTTGGTTGTTTTCTACAAGACTGTTTCTTACCTTTGAGCACAGAATTTTCACAGTGTAATAAACACAGCATATTTCTTGCTTTGAAAAGGATTTGTCTCCTTGTGTGTCTATCAGTCTCTCGTCTTTTTTAGCTTGTTTGTTGGGGGCTTTTTGCTTGTTTATTTTGAGATGGGGGTCTCTCTACATAGACCTGGCTGTCCTGGAACTCACTCTGTAGAACAGGCAGGCCTGGACCTCACAGAAATCTGCCTGTCTCTGCGTCCTGAGTGCGGGGATTAAAGGCATGTGGGGATTAAAGGCATGCCATTATTCCTGCCTCCAGTTTCTCATCTTAACATGAAAAGAAACAAACCCCACAAATATGCATTTTCTGCAAGGTCCCAACGCATCTCAACAGTGGGATGAGAACACAGCTCAAGGGCTGGGCCAGTGAGGGGGTGGCCTTTCCTTTCCTTCCCGGTTTTTAACATTGTGAGATATCATTCCACACCGGAAACACTTGAGACTCTTCATAGAATCTGTTTTTCAAAGTGTGTATTTGATTCCTGAGTGCAGAACAACGTGAGGACGGGCATCCTGGCATTTGCCCTACGCTCTTGCCTGGAATTCCATCATCAAACACTGACTAGTTGCTGTTGTTTCTAGAAAACCCCATAAAGATGTCAGAGATGAAAGCTGTGTGTGTGTGTGTGTGTGTGTGCTCAAGGGCCCACGTTTGTGTATGTGCATGCAGGTGTGTATATGTATGTGTGTGCACATGTATATGTGTGTACATGCATGTATGTATGCATGTGTATACACAAATGTGTGTGTGATGCTAGCTCACAGCCTTCCTGATGGGAGTGAATCCTCCATCCTAACCTAAACCTCAGCACCAAACCTCCAGTTCCTGATGATGTCATCTGAGAAAAGCGCCTCCTTAGCCTCAGCCCAAAGGTTCCAGGGGCCTGAGAGGGGCCCTGAAGATACACTGGCACTTCTCTGTCACCCCAGAGAAAGGAGACAACCCTCAGAATCCTCATGTGTGAACTGGTTGCAGTTGGGACGTGGTTGGCACATGCTTGTAATCCCAGCACTTGGGAGGCAGAATAAGGAGAGTCCAGGGTTCAAGGTGACCCTTGGCTACATGGTGAGTTTCAGGCCAGGCTGGGCTATATAAGATCCTGTCTCAATTCCTCCCCTCACACCCCAAAAAGTGAACATTCTGTGTTTGGGCATTTTGGGCAGGGGGTTTTGTTGTTGCTGAGACAGGGTCTCACTATGTAGCTCTGGCTAGCCTGGAACTCACAGAGATGCCCCTGCCCCTGTCTCCTAAGTACTGAGATTAAAAACAAGCGCCACTGTGCCCCCAGCTCCTCCCGAACCTTCTCCCCTCTTCTTTTTGTCTACCCCCCGGTGCTAAAGTCCCAGCCCACCCTTCTCTTCTTTTTAAACTATGCTGTTTGTTTATCAGAGTGGGAGATATGCGAGATATGCATGTGTCACAGCATGTGTGCAGAGGTCAAAGGACAACTTGCAAGAGTCGCTTCTCCAGGCTTCTGACTCAGGTCACCAGTCTGGAGGGCAGGCATCTCTACCCACTGAGCCATCTTCCTGGCCTCAGTGTCATCTTTTCTGTGTCCTGTGCCTCCATCTTATGTCCTGGAACCCTGTCCTTTGAATGCCACATATCACCTAAGCTCAGCTGAGGGCCAAAGGTCAGGTCCTTGTGACCAGTATTGTCATGATTATCATCACCCCCATTTTCTGGGTAAGAAAACTGAGACAGGCACCCTGAGACATGAGGGGACAGCTGAGTGGCTGTCACATCTGCCTGGCCTTCCGCAGAGCTTTGGAGAGTGTCCATTGGAGTGACAGAAGACTGAGAGGTGTCTCTGCGCGATTTCTCATTTTGATCCTGCATGCACTTGGGGTTGTGGATATCTAAAGAGAGCAGTTAAGATTTTTTTCAAGTGAGGTTTTTGAGTAGCTTATTTTCCAAGAATCCGTGAGTCATCTTCTTGATGCAGAAGGACAGTGAACAGTTGGTGTGGATAAGGGTCTCGTTAACAAGGCAGGCACAGTTCCATCAGCTGGGACAGTCCTCATGACTCTGAGAAGCTGAACACCTCGCCTCTGGCAGGCAGGGAAACTGAGGCACAGAGAAGTTGTGTGATTTGCTCAGGGTCATGAAATAAGAGAGCAGCAGAGCCAGGCTCTAACCACTGCCCGAGCATTCTTTACCAAGCCAGGGACCTGGGCTTGCTAGTGGAATGGACACACACACCCACATGCAAGACATCCTAGAGCTCCACATTCGGGCCACTGCTTGCTATCAGCCTGCTCCTCTGCTCACCCATTCCAGAATCTTCACTCCCAAACATAGCTAGAACGTCTGAGGTTTTCCAGGAAACTGGGCACATCTGTAAAGAGGGACCAGGTGTAGTGTGAATCCTAATTGGTCTTCATAATGAAAACCTGGAGTCAGATAGAGGGTGAACACTGAAAGACCAGAGAGACAAAGGAGCAAGTCACAGCCACTTCCTACCTCTACAGAATCCTCAGTAGCCAGGCGGTGGTGGTGACCACCTTTAATCCCAGCACTCGGGAGGCAGAAGCAGGTAATCTCTGTAAGTTCGAGGCCAGCCTGGTCTACAGAGGGAGTTCTAGGACAGCTAGGGCTACACAGAGACACCCTGTCCAAACAAACAAAAACAAATAAATGAATAATAAAGGAAATCTTAGTAGAGAGGCTGAGGAGGTAGCTCAGTTGGGCAAGTGCCTATCATATTAGCATAAGGACCTGAGTTTGGATCCTCAGCATCTACAGGAAAGCTGGACGTGGCAGCATACATCTGTAGGAGGCTTATTTCTGTCCAGCCTCGCTGAATTGTGAGCTCCAAGTTCAACGAGAGAACTCTCTCTCAAAAACTACAGTAGAGAGACTCGAGGACAGTACCTAACATTGACCTCTGGGCTGCACACCCATGTACATACATGCCAACACGCTGGCATATACACAAGCACGTACCTATACATGCACCACACACTCATAAAAATAATAAAAATAATAAGCAAACAGATCATTGGGGCAGGGCCTGGGGATGTAGCAGCTGTTGCCGAAGTGCTTGCCTAGGAGTTCGATCCCTGGGGCCCCATAAGCCTTGTTTGCTACGTGTGCCTATAACCCCAGAACTCAGGAGTGGAGGATGAAGAGTTCTAGGCCTTCCTCAGCGACATGGTGAGTATGCTTATTAAGTTGTTGTTGTTGTCAACTTGACATAGGTCAGGGTCATCTGGGAAGAAGGCCTTCAACTGTGTAGATGCCTCCCTCAGATTGGCTTGAGGCAAATCTGCGGAGCATTTTTTGATTACTAATTGATATGGGAGGGCCTAGCCCACTGTGGGCGGTGCCACCCTGGGCAGGGTCCTGGGTGCTGTAAGAAAGCCATGGTGGACAAGCCAGTAAGCATCATTCTTCCCTCATGATCTCTACTTCAGTTCCTGCGTCCAGGTTCCTGCCTTACTTAAGTTCTTACTTTGGCTTCCTTCAAAGATGGACTATGACAGGGATGTGGAAGCCAAATAAACCCTTCCCTCCCCAAGCTGCTTTTGGTCAGAGTGCTTTACCCCAGCAGTGGAAAGCAAACTAAGAGAGCAAGCTCAAGGCCAGCTTGAAGTCCTGACCCTTCCTCAAAAATGAATGAAAGAGCAGAGTAAGCAGATAAAGAGCTTCCTAATCAGGGACCCACTGAAATCACACACACACACACACACACACACACACACACACACACACACACACACACCAGCCTTCCTAATGCTTCTTCTTGGAGCTACACCAGCCCTCAGTTTCCCTGGCTGCTCGTCATCACCCTGTTCCCTTCAGAGAGCTGCCATGCTCTGTGTCTCCACAAGTGTTTACCTATCGTTCAGATCTTTCTAGGAAAGAAGTCTCTGTGGAATGGACCAGAGGAGGCTCAGCCCACAGCTTCAGAGCTAAAGACCACTTAAAGAGGATGTGGAGGGCAGGCCAGCTTTGCCCAGCCTTGGGTGTTAAAGGTACAGAGCACTGGCTGTAATGATTCTGGTCATGTCTGCATTTGTGACTCTCAAGGAGTCCTGTCTGCATCCCCTTGTGGCAGTTTCATCTGAGGATGAAGTGTGGCAAAGAAAAATAAAATGTGTCTCTCTTCTCACCAAGTCAGAGCCAAACCAGTACCGTGGCCTCTGGTCTCCATTCCCGGTGGAACTCTCCATGTCTGTCTTCTAGGACTTTCCATCTACTGACTTCCCTTAGCCCGGCAGTTCCACCCACGAGTGGCCAACCATCCTATGGAAGCTGATTGTCAGAAATGCCTAAAAGCAGATCCAGATCTGTGTGCCCCACTGGGCAGTGGTTCCCTCTCTCGTGTCTGTGACGTTGCTGTGTGCGCCGGATGCTGGCCCTGAGCTTGTGTGTGTGCGTGTGCGTGTGCGTGTGCCTGTGTGTGTATGTGTGTGTGTGGTGTGTGTGATGTGTAGGCCAGAGGTCAATGTCAAGTGTCTTTTTCTTTCATTCAAGTCTAATTTTGGAGACAGGTCTGTTGCTGAAATGGAAGCTTGCTGATTCAATTAGACCGGCTGCTGGCCAGTACTTCCTGGGAATCCTCCCGTCTCCATTACCTCTCCAGTGCTGGTTTGTTTTGTTGGTGGTTTTTAAAGATTTAATTATTTTATTTGTGTAACTGTTTGGCCTGCAGGTATGCATGCCTGGTGCCCACAGGGTCAAAAGAAAGCACAGGTTCTCTAATACTGAAGTTATGGATGGTTATGAGCTAGTAAGTGGTGCTGGGAACTGAACCCAGGTCCTCTGCTAGTGTTTATAACTACTGAACCAACTTTCCAGACCTGCACCTGTTTTTTTAACGGGGGTGCTGCAAATCAAACTCAGATCCTCAGACTTGTGCTGCAAACACTTTACCAACTGAGGTACTGTCCCAACCCATGTGTGTGTGTGTGTGGGGAGTTGTTACAGGGTCTCAAGTAGCCCAGGCTGATCTCAAGTAGCCCAGGCTGGTCTCCAACTCCCTCTGTAAGAGCCCAGGATGATTTTGACTTTCCGCTTCCCG